ACAATGAACCTTTCTTTTGCAGAATTGACATGAAAAAACAATGGAAACATTTATGATTATGACAAATAGTATGTGTTGTCTGTCTCTGAGAATATTGTACAGTGAAGAACTATGTAGACTAAATCATGCACTTATGACAAATTTCAGGCACAACTGAGTAAATTAAATTTTAAATATTATCCTGTCTCCTCAATGAGTTTCCTGTTTCTAAGCATGGCAGCTTAACCTGTGACCTCTTCAGCTTGCCTCTGCAGGTTGTGCACTCCCTATATTTGAAAAACACAGCCAGAAAATGCTGGTACTATAAGAAATTATATGGTAAATTTAATGGCTGTGCTTAGAAATACTGTGAAATTAAACATTCTGGGTTCTCTGTGAGATTTAAAAGGCAACCATGGACTTCTGCTATTACTAAAGGCACCATTGTGAAAAGGGGTTCTAAATTTTCATTTAAATATTGTGTACCCAAGTGTGTACATTTGCCTTTCCAGAAAATACATCCATGCTGAAGCCAGATCTGCAAATGGAACAAAAATTAGAAAGTCACCCTAACTGATGCAAGTATATACTCAGCATCTTGATCCAAGCTGGGCTCTGGAGCAAACACAGGCTACAAAAACTAACCCTAGATTACCTCCCTCCCCAGACAGATCTCCATCCTGTAACCTGGAAATGGGGGAGTGACAGCAGGGCAGCTCTGGCTTGTTTAGTCAGAGAGCAACCCATTTTCCACTAATGCAGGGGAGATTCTGCCAGTGCCATCTCCCTGTCCTAGGCAGGACACCCCAACTTCAACTGCAAGCAGCAACCACAGAGCAAAGTCGCAGAGCCAGCAGACACATTCCAGCCTGCCATAGCCACCAACTGCCAGACTGCCACACTTCCAAAGGAGGTCTGGCATGGATGACCCTCTGAACCCCAGATCCCAAGTTCCAGACCTACAGCTCCAGACAGCCCAAATACCTCTGCAAAACCTACCTGCACACATCAAGCCCTAGGCAGGCCTCTGGCAGAACCTCAGGGGCTTGACTTGGTCCCTAGCTGTCACTTGAAGTGCTCAGTTCCATATGATCCCATAGTGCTTTTTTTTTGCAAAATGGAAGGGAACTAATCTCACTGCTGGCCAAATTCCAGCTTTGAGTAATTACATTCTTCTGACAAATTTTCCTTGGCAGTTTCAATGGAATATAATTAGTAAATGTAAATAGACGTAAATAGTGCTGTAAATTACACTTTGCGTGATTGTCAGAAGCAGAGGAGGAGAGTGAGGGTGAAGGGGCAAATAGAGCAGAGCTTCGTTCTCTGATATGGGTGTTGTGGCCTTCTCTCTCCTCAGACACACTCTCTCGTAAGTGCACGTCACTGCCAAGACAGTGTGTTCAGGGCTTCTGCAGCAGGATCATCGTGTGGTTCATTACACAGATCCACTTCACCTCAAGTACAATTCTGACATGATGTCATGTCCCACAGCTGTTTGTGAGCAGCTGCCATGTTCCACCTCAGCTGTGCTTCTGCTTCAGCAGCAGGCAAACTGCTTCACACACACACATGCAACTGCAAAATGAGCGTACATGATATTATTGTTTTCTATGAAATGCTTATCAAATTTGTGAATGGTTTGTGAAACCTTCTGCTACCAACAGAAGAAGTGTCATATAAATGGAATTATATAATTATCCTTCACTGCTATTTTAATGCAGCTTCATGTACTATTTTCACCTAGAGTGGAAATAGCTTCTCCCTAAAATAAAGTAAATGCATATACTTAACTCCATGTAGTCAAGTACATTTAAAAGCGACTATTTAAAGCAGTGAAAATAGATTATAATATGCACCTATCTTATGTTAGTACTTTATTATGTGTCAAATGTCTCATGTACATCATCTGTTTCAAATACAAACTGATATGGCCAGTGGGCTTAATTAGATCTTTCTGTCATCCAGAAAATTCAAGGATGATTTTCCAATAATTCACTTATTTTTCTGTTTACTCAAAATTTGCATATAGGAAACAGCTAGCAGAAACTAGTAAAATGAAGGGAAAGTTAATTTTCTTAACAAAAGCTTGCGGCACTATTAAGCTATAAGAGGAGAAACAGATGTTTCAGCTTTACAATACCATGTCTTGCAAAACTTCCCTCTGAACGACTATTCGTGCTCTACATGTTTTGGACTGTGTACGGAGAGCTCTGCTAACAGTCATGGGAAGCATTGCATACATTACTAAAGCCCACATAAAGATAATTAGTGCTAAAAAAAAGAATCAACAGGCCTTTTTTTCCCCCCTTTATAGTATTGATTTAGTGTGGGTGAAAAATGCCAGATTTTCAGTCTTGAAGATTCATGTTCCACCACAGAGTGGGAGATGGAGCCAGCTTTTCCCAGCCCTCTGCCAACAAACTCTTAGCTTAACCATCTCAAGGGCCAGGAAGAAGAGCCAGGCTCTACGGTCTATCAACCCTTAGTGCCTCTGATGAACCTGTGAACATGGAGAATGGGGACCACACAGGCTGGGGCAAGGAACTCAAATTTTTAATCTTTGTGGCTGTATCTACCCTAGTATTTTCTTGTTCAAAAATTCTCAAAATTGCAGAAATGACCAGCAGTCAGTATTGAAGTTGCACTGCTGCAGAGAGGACTCTGGGTATTGCTGCAGTGGTAGCAGCCATGGAAAAATGTATACAGTGGAAGAGGCCTTTGAAGCTCATTTTGTATCTTACATATATATTTCCTACATGGCAAATTCTGTTTTAATTTTATTTCTGTAACCTTTTGCAGACTCTATGATGGGGTACACACATCATTTAACTCTTTGTCTGGCAATAACTTTACTTTCTGCAGATCTAAACAACATCGACACAGCACGTAACCAGATGTGATTTTGCTGGCCCTTCAAGATGCTGAAGTCAGGGCATTTTAAGGTAGCAACTTTTATTTTTTTACTATCAAATGCCATGCTAAGAGCATGTACATGAACAACTCTGAATACTCTGTGGACAAGTGGCTACTTGGTAAGCCACCTCACAGCTTGACCCTTCTCCCGGGGAAGGATCTACTGCAGAGATGCCCCTGAAGAGAGTAACATGTCCTACTAGAATGTTTAGTATTTATTTTAATAATAGAGCAATCCAGGTTAGTTGAGGATGACATTATTTTGCCAAGTGTTTGTAAGGGTTGCTTTAAAACCACTTGCTTTCAGGCAAAGTCATAATCAGGCTAAGCAATGTAAGACTTTTATAATGGAAGGCCAACACATATTTTTTCATTCAGTCTGCAAAAATAAACTGAGCACAGCTGTTTTACTGAAAACAGCCCACTGGTATTTAAGTAGATTAACAAAATTAACTGTGAAAATCCTATGCTATCTGAAAGCCAATAACCTGTTGGCCACAAGGAGGCAGGGCAAGGATTTAGTACACTCAAAGAAAATGCTTTTATTTAAAGTTAAATTAAAAAAAGAAAAGAAACGAAAAAGAAAAAAATAGAAAACAAGGAGCATTAAATTAGTTCAGTCATGAAACTCTAAACTGCTAGGCAAGATAAAAAGCACTTTTTCATCCAGTGTGTGGTTTCAGAATTGCTGTTTTATTCCAAGAGCAGCAAATATCTTAAGATACCAAACAATAGCCGATCTGGCAGCAATTTTCTTCTTTTGAAGAAGCAGATCACTCATGTTACTTCTTCATCACTTCTGTGTGATGCAGAAGAAAACCCTAATGCTCAGCTTTGATAGAAGTAGTGAATTTACCAACTCAGAGCAAGAAGCCGTACTGCCAGGTTCACAAGGTGTTGCTCCCAAGCTATTAAATCCTGCTTCTGGGCAGCTTTGGGAGCTGTGCCTTTCACTCCCTTGGCACTTCTAATTCTAGGCTAAAAGCAAGCAGAGGCTGTTTGGCATCTGTAGTGCCCTACCAAGAACCTTATGCACAGTACCGGACAGTGATTCCTCCCTCCCTCCTTCCCTTAACTAGAACTTGGAGACATTCCAAAACCAGCCCTAACCCAAACTTCTAAATGACAAAAGGGCAAAAGAGGAAAATAAAGCCATAGTATCTCTATTTCACAGTTAAATTGAAAACTATCATATTTAACAATGAGACAACACTATCCATGGCATTTGCATACCACAGTCCAAATCTATGAGTGATCTTCTGGTTGAGATGAAGTGACTTTCCTCTTGGCTCTGCCACTGCATGCTACTGACCTAGGTAATTTCGGTCCCCTATACCTCTGTTTCCTCATCTTTTAAGCAACTGCCTTTCTTCTTTGTGAATCACTATGAGGTCCATGGATAAAAAACACACTACAAGAACTAATAGTTATTAATGCAATTCAGATATGGAATGCACCAGATGGTAAAATCTCCAGGACTTTAATGAACTATTGTAACAGAACATATGTAATATGACGTTATTATAACAGGCATTTAAATGTATAGTTAGTACATACAACGTGACCTGTGCTGCTCTCAGTAACTCCACTGGAATTATTTTGGATTTATGTCAGATAATACTAGGAACACAAAATAGCCCCATATGTGCAATGTGGTAAGGTTTTCATAGTAATGTTATCTTAACTATTGCCTGTCCTGTTTTTATCTGTATCTATCATTTAGTTCTGAGAAGGAAATAAAAAAAGTACCTAATGTCAAAAACTAAAATGCCTCTGACCAAGTATTTGACTAGGCAAAGGTGAAAAAAAAAAGACTGCAGTTCAAGCCACTGGCATCAGACATTACAGTCAGAGGCAGGTTCTTACTTCAGTAAAGGATGAACATGAAGACACCGTATGTATAATAACTCTAGCTCATCTAAAATACAGACTATAAAACTCAAGTGAACTGACATTTAATACATGAGAGGCTGGAAGCAAGATATCAATTTCACATCATAAATTAGCCTTTGTGCTAGTGCCCAAAGATTTGGCTGATTACTCATTGCTTTCCCTTAGTGCTTAAGCAGTCTTTTCCAAAGCAAGACAGTTAAACCACAAAAACGTACCGTAGTGTCCACAGCCCTGACCTTCCCAGCAGGAACGTGCTTTGGAATGGGTTCTTCTACTGATATCATCATGCAGCCTTCTGCTCCAAGAGTAACAATTACAAGCTTACACCCTCTTTCTAACAGCATGCGTCCCACCTTTTCAGCATCTTCAAGGTTGCCAACTGGGATGCCCGTTAAAATCTCTGCCTGGAAAACAACCCACGCAAATGAAAATCATAATCTGACAGCATTCATTTTTGGACAACAGTTGCACTCGAAAACGGTATTTAGTATCTTTTTAAAATGTGTATTATAGGATGATCACAAAACCACTTTCTACACTGATATTTAGATATGCCTTGCTCCTAGCTGGAAACCAGCATGCCTTTCAGGTGCAGCAGACTAATGCAAAGAAGGGTAGGCAGAGAGAGATGCAGAAGGCATGGGTTCTGTTTCAGCTTCTACAACTTACCTGGCACACAACCCTTAGTAAAATCACATTTCTCCCACATGCCTCAGTTTTTTCATCTGTGAAATGGACACAATGACACGGTCTTGGCAAAAACACTTTGTGGTTTAGTGTGAAAAATGTTACAAGACAACTTGGTCACTATTGTTGAGGGATATGTATCTCTAAGTGAGAAACTTTTTAAATACTTTTAAAAATTCTTAGTGTCAAATTAGAAGGGAAAATTCTCTTCAAGGAAAAAAAAAATGCTTAACTTTGACCACTTTGTTTAGTTTTATATACATTTTTTGATGAGAATACCTAACATTTATCTGAAGCTGTCTTTGGGGAAAGGCCCATTACAAGACTATTATGTATTTGTGTTATGGCCATGGCCATGTCCATGTTCATAAACTTCTGTCAACTGTGTTGGCTCTGTACAAACATAGATAAACTCTTCTTCTAACAGACGGTGACCTTAAGTCTACTTCTTCCAGTTGGGTCTTAAAATTATTCTCTTGTAGCTCCACCCAACTAAGAGCAAAATTTCCCCAAAATCTGCATTGAAGACTCCAGAATCAAACAACATTTTCACCTCTTCATACATTTTCTTGATGGCACAGCACTGTCAAGCATCATGTGCTTTTCCACTTTTTTTTTGGCAGGGAAGAGAACGAGAACGAAACAGGACGAAAAGGAAATAAAAATTGTCTTTTCTCTGAAGCAGGCAGTTCTCCTGCATAACACAGTATGCCTTCAACTGTAAGTAAACAGACATACTGTTTTGCCATCCATACTTAATTTTGTCCTGCTTGCCTGAGAAAAGGGAAGTCTTACTATAAGGTTGCTGCTGTAACCTGAAGAATGCAGCCTGAAGTATTTCCAGATAGCTCCCTTGTAGCTGAACATAACTTCCACACTCTTAGGGCTTATTTTCAGTGGAAAACTTACTTTGGAACCTCTTCAGCAGCTAATCTCCTGACCTCTGCTACAGGGGCAGCTCAACTTCTTGGGAAACAGCTGCTGAAATATTTCAAACTACCTTCCTCTGCCTGACTGAAATTTGAATTGTGAAGCACACATACTTCATGTAACAAACTGTAAACTATAGTGATTAAACAACTGCTCCATGGAGCACAGGCCATGCCTGTAGTAAAGAGAGGGAGGGCAGACAGCTGGGGACAGGAACTACTACAGCCATCTACAAGCAAACCGCCCCCAGCTGTGAGTCAGCGCCTGCTCACCACTGTCATTTCCTGAGTTTCAGCCTGACCCAGGCGAGAGCAGCCACCCTTAGGCTCTGAAGGGCCAGATTATGCCAACACACTCCCTAGAGTTTATAGTATCACTAGCAGAGGACTTACTGGTTTTAATTTTCTTCTATGACCAAGTTCTGCCGTCCCTACTTAGACAAATGCACAATGATTTCAAGCACTGTTGATCTGATCACTACGAGAGGGAGGCTGGTGTGGCAGGAGGTGATGGGTAAACTTGTGGGCTGCAAGGGCAAGGTGTGGTTAACATGTACACAGAACTTAAAACTACTTTTTTTAACCACACTGATCCCAGGCAAGAATATACTAAGCTTTAAATTATAAGAAGGCAACTAAACTGACCCAACTTTCTCTTTGGCATGTCACCATGCAACTCAAACTTCTTTTGCAGTATGAACTATTTAAGCAAATTAAACATATTTCAGTTTTTAAAAGGTTATAAGAGTATTTAAAAATACTGACTAGTTTCAAAATGTATCTCACAAAGCATTTTGAATGTATCTTGCAAGTTTTGCAAGGAGTTAATGCACTAATAATATTTTTGGAGTAACTGAGGATCAATGATAAATAGTATTAAAATATACACATAATCTATTCAGGCATCTAAAGAGTCTGTGTCTCTTCACAAATTTTAAGATCTCTGGAGCAGGAACTATGCATTCCTGTATTCAGAACACCTAGTACATCATGTTACAAGAATAAAAATGGATTAACACAAATCCTTGAATGAAACTGGGAGGCTGAATTTCCAGTGTACTTTATGAGGGCCAATAATTCCAAACATTCTACCTATGCTGCAAAGTCTCCAGGATGAAAGTGGATTTGGTTTTGGTAGAGAAATAGTAAATCTAATATGGGTTTACTTACCTAGTATACTTCTGTAAGCTCATGAGTAAGGTAAATGAAGTATTTAAATACAATATTGTTCGTCATGAAACGCACATCCTGTATGCTTAGCATAAAGACTGTACTCCTCTTTGTGCCTCCTATATCCCAAGTCAACAGGATTTTTTGCTTGAGTAGGGAAAGAATTGTTCTGGGACTGATATATGAAGGGTTTTTCAGAAATCTTTCTTTTCATCTTTATATTGATTATACCAATAAACGAAATTTTTTTGAACAGACAGGAGTCAGTATAAAAGTAGATCTTTGGCTGCTTGAAACCATTATCATCTAACTCATCTACAGCAGGATGGTAAAGCTAAAAAACACTGGAACAAGCTGTAAGAACCATAAAAGCAGCAGAAGCCAGACAGATTCTGTGCCAATAATTAGAGATTGCGGTAAATGTCAACTGATGTTAAATACTATAGTGAGTTCTTAAGTTCCTCCCTTCAGTAGAATCTTATTTAAAAAACAAACTGTGGTACAATTGAAGGAAATAACTAATGGTTATGTAAAGAAAAAATTAAATAACAATACTAAAAGCCCAATGTGGACATTTGCCATATGCTGTACAAAAGAGCAGCAAATTAAGAATATTATTTTTCTGCAACTAGTCTCATAAAACTACTCAGTTAAATGGACCTCATAAAGCAAGACAACATTCCACACAACTGCTGTCAGAATTAACCTATGATGGATATTATATAATTAATCTACAAAGAATTTTGTTTACAAGAGTGGTAGAAAAATTTAACTAAAGCTTTTAATTTCATTGATATGAAGATTCTTGACCACAGACTTCACTAATCTTAGTTAACACTCCATCTCTCTTTAGACTGCAGAGTCTAGTCACGGTAAGTTGACACAAACCAGAACTGCTACAGAAAAAAATCGCCCTTCCACTCCTGTCCACATGGCCCATTCTCTTGTGCCAGCACAGCCATTTATGTGCCCTGGAAACAAACTGGATTTCAGGGCACATCTGTGTTAAAATTAACACCACCCCCAGTTCCACACCACCCCCAAAAGTCAATCCAAAACAATTTACTTCTTTCAACAGCAATACTAGTTTACACTGGCTAAAAGTGAGAATGAACCTAGCATATGAACACTCGCCAGTTGTTCCTAACTGTGGTGCATTTGGGGCATCCGATGGCTTACAAAAATGTACACAGACACTTTCGTGAAGATGTTCTGGATCCTCTGCTAGGCATCTGCAAGACCAACTCTGCAGCATCATATCTAGTTTTGGGATCTTTGGCACAAGTAAGACACTGTCATACCACAGCATGCTGCGATGGAAGGTCATCAAGACAGTCAGGTGACCAGAGACAAGAGGAGGCTGGGAGAAGCAGGCTTGTTCAGCCTTAAGAACTCCCGGCTAAGGGGAGATGTTATTGCTGTCTGCAGGAATTTAATAGGTGGGTACAGAGAAAAGGAAGCCAGAGTCTTCTTGAAGAGCCACAGGGATAGGGCTAGAGTCAACAAGCACAAACTGGAATATGGGAAATTCCAGTATTAGGACAAGCTTTTTCACCACAAGGGTGATGAAGCAGTGGAACAGGTGCCCAGAGGTCATGCAGTCTCCAACCCTGGAGATTCAGAACTTGACTGGGCAAAGTCCTGAGCAATCTGACCTCAACTGGCCATGCTTCACCACGGTGTTGGACTAGAGACATCCAGAGGTCTGTTCCTAACCTCTACAATCCTATGATCCTCGGCAAATCTAAACTGGTGAAATAACAAGAAGTGTTAATTCTTTGGGGAGCAGTCTACCATTTGGCCTGTTTTTTGTAGACCTAACACAATAACAACTTTGCAAGTGTTGCCAGGAACTGCTGGAAGAGAAATAATAAATAATAACTGGGAAACTGTTCCAGTTTTAAGGCTAATCAATCTAAAACTACATATGATCATTTAAAATATTTTTAATTTCAAATATTTAAACACAGTAAGCCAGTTGGCTAAAAACTTGGCTTGTACCGTAGGAGATTTCTTTGAGAATGACAAAATAAGAACTCAATCTCACTAATTCTAACACATGTGGACAGTCCCAGAGAAGTAGTGCAACAGATTTGGTGTATAACCAATTGCAAGATCAGGCCACAAGCCAAGCTAGTTCCAGTTGTTTCAAATTATAAAATTTTTACGTATATACAGGCAAAAATACTTATCGTCCTAGAATAATTAAAAGCTGATTGAAATGAATTGGCCTGAAGCTATTCCTTTCCCTCCCAAAAGTAACATCTTTCATTTTAGACTAAATATGGGAAATTTCATAGTTTCCAGCGACTGATAAAATCGGGTTTAGAACAAAGTTGGAATTAAAATATACTGTGAATTGCTGGCAACTTCTATGTAATGGCAGAATAGTTGTTCTCTATTACTTAAAAGAGAAAAGGCTAATTCAAGAGATATTATGAAATACTTATTTATAGTATTTTATAAAAGGACCTGTTTTGACTACTAGAGATATCAATTATATTTGCTTTAAAAAGATTATTGTCAGTATTAATCTCTCTTTATTAATAAGCAGTATCTTAAATGTCCTTATCCCAGACTACAGATATAGTTTTACAAACCTGATATTCTCTGAATCTCACAAAAGTCAATCCTGTCTCTTGATTTTGGACATACTAACAAAAATTTACCTTACTAATATTTCTTCCAAAAAGTGATCTAGCTTCTGGTAATAGACAGTAATACTTAAAAAGAAACAGTGGGAAAGTATCTATTTTTCTTTATTATTTTTTTATATCTTGCAGCATTATTTAACAAAATTAGCAATTAACTTACATTTAGTTATGCTGCTTTCTACCATTGAAGCCCAAAGTATTCTGCTTTGCATTTAATTAAATCTTTGCTAGGCCTTCTTTAGGTTACAAGTCTGATACCCACTTTACATTAGGGAGAAAGCAGTTCCCTGTTTTGCATTAAAAACAGTGTGACAAACTTAGTCGTTCATTGTTTAGGAGTTTTCCTTCTCCTGAAGGGCTCCTCAGTATTCTTTAAATGGAGAAGCAGCTGTTTTTCAAAACATTTAGGATCAAATTGAAATCACTGATATGCAATGTATTTTGGTTCCTAATCTGCAAGGCTGTGTAACTGCATGTACACACTAAATAAGAAAAACAACACATGAACTGTATTGACATTGTGGTTATGCCTAGAGCCATCTGCAGCAAGGAATCACACAAATACGTGGGAAAAAAAATGGTTAGTATTCCAAAGAGCTCATCTTGTACAGGGTTGTCTCGTTTTCAACATTTATAGATGACTGGAAAGAACAACCATTAGTTTTCACCAAGATGACATTGGATACACTTATTTTTCACTAGAAGAACTAAAGGAATGGAGAACTAGCACATTCCTGCACAAACCTCGGGGATTAGACTGTGCTACATCTGGGAATTAACAAACTAGTCTCAACAAGTTTGATCTTTCTGGGAAAAGATAAAACTGAACTACAGGCTAAGCAAAGAAAGAGCTGATAACCTTGCAAGATTTGTTCTGACTTCTTTTTTTTCAGGAACCACATAAAAAGAAAGTAATGTCAGACATAAAGAAAATTGTTATTGCAACAAGCAAGAGTGAAAAGAACAGCTTGTGAAGAGCCTTCTAGACAAACTAATGGTAGATAATTCACTGATAGAGTAATTCTGTTTGCTTCTCTCCAGCACATAAATCCATAAGAACAAGCTGTGCTGTTATACCAGATACCACATGTGATTTCATTAAATCCTAAAGCATTTAATGAAGGATGGAGTATAAAGTGTTGATGTTGTATTTGATATTTGCATGTTTGGCAGCCGACACCCCATGGCTGACACTACGGCTGACATATTTGAACTTTTATTCCTTGACAAAGGGCAAACCCCCTTGACCTTCATGGCTGTAAATAACATAAACTTCTGACTCAGAAATAATTCAGCTCATCACAAGGACTATCCCCTTTTCCTCATCTTTAATAATACAAACACTCCACACAGTGTATGAGATGTCTTAAGCTAAATGGCTGGTGTTCTGCTCTACAGCCAATACAATTTCTGTTTCACACATACTGTTCACGCATTTTCTGCAAACCACAGGATTTTACAACTTAAAAGTAGTTCTTGGTGAACAACAAAGATAGGGACATTTTGGTAAAATTGTGATGAATACTTGTAAATTACTAAGAAATGCAAACCAATCAATAAAAAAAAAGTCTGTGTAAATTTAATCTTGTCTTAGCACACACACGTGCTAAAAAGAACGTCTTAGAAGCAGTTGAACTGGGTAGCTCTAGAGTTCATCTTTAAACCCAGGATGATTTATTAACTATTTAAAATACTTTCTGAAGATAAAGAGGAAATTTTTTTTTCTGGTAGTACCTCAAAATCCCAAATAAAATATCCCAAAAGGTGTAAGGCAGGAACATAAATAGTATTTTGGCTAGCTATTCGAGACTTGGAAATTCCAAGCAGGAGGGGCAATGGAGCTGGAACAGAACATCTCAGGAAAGCAGCTGTAAGCAAAGCATTCAATAATTTCACCAAAGAGAATAATAATTTTAAAAAATCCAGAAGAATAACCATTTGCTCAGAGCAAAGGCACATCTTATGCAAATGCTCTTTTATAACTGTGACTGCCAGTAGATACTGAGGGAAATTAAAAAAAAAGTAAAAAGATCTTTTCCCTATATATGTTTGGGATCATCAAAGTATTCAGTACTCCCTGATTTAAGAAGATGAAGGAAATGCATATATAGTTAGCTGAATGGATAAAGCTGAAAAAAAATCAGAATTATCTTTAGGATTTGTAGAATCAACTTGTTTTTAATTGCCATACAGAGATGTGACTGGTAACCTTTATTTGGGTATGTAAACATTTATCTCCATATCAAACTTCTCGAGTGTATTCATTACAAAGATTTGAAATTAAAGTAAGTCACGAAAGAAAACAGAAAACAGATGGCATATGAACATAAAACAATTACTAAAAAAAACAACTTTCGAACTTGTGACATAAGAAAACCAAATGCTTCATTTTCCTCTTTTCTCTGCAAAGAGAAAGGGACAATGGCAATAGTTCATCCCTGAAAATCAGTTCAATACAAGTCAGACACACAGAGAGCATGAAATCAAACAAAATTGATTATTAAATTCATGCTAATGTAATTGATTTCAATGCAAAGTTTGAAAAGGTTATTGTTAAAAGCAGAGGCACTTATGTGCCATTCTTGTTCTCAGAATATGCTGTAGGAATCCTACACTTGGATCTGCCATGCTGCCATGATACAGTTGGCAGGAACTTCCATAGGTCTAGCATTTCCATAAATTCAGAAGAGATGAGCCTCATCAGCATTAGAGAGCATATTTCTGTGCCTGACTTGCTTACGGTGATCCCAGCTATCTTCACATGGTAATTATTTTTTAAAAGAAAATAGTAGAAAAGAATGCAAACTGTACCCCCAGCTCTGCAGGAAAGGTAGATGAGTGAGCAGGGATCTATTATAATTATACACCTGTATTTCTTGTTCTCCAAATAGAAGTAATTTTCTTTTCTCCATGTGGTGCTAAAAGTAATAATGCACCCTGGCTCCAGCAAACTACATTTCTCAAAGAATGTCTCTTTCAAGACTGTCCTCTAGCAATAAGGTACAACAAAGGGAAAACTTTAACATGTGTGTTGCAAAGAGCAATGAGAGAAAAGTCAGGAATAGACAAGTAATGAAAAACAAAGTTTTGTTTCTAACATATGGGGGATAAGTTTTCACGGGGAAAAGAAATTAACTAGTGGCATTATGAAAAAACCAAACTACAAACAACATTTACTAAATACTGGGAGAGTAGAGGTGTCCTCTTCATCAATAGAATTGAGTTATGATAGCTGTTGAGTGTCTGAGCTGCAAATTTTATCACTGCCAGTAATCCTGGAAACTTTGGCTTCCAGAGACTTAAAGAGCCACAGCATCTCTCACCTTGCTGTTATGTTAATTCCTGAATTAGTATCTGAACGTGGCAGACACATAATAAAACATCCCAGAATAAAATTCAGATGTCCTTTTGAGTTACTTAGACTGACTCTTAAGTGTTAGAAGACTCGTGGACTGAGAACTTCTGATACGGTTTGTCGTGGGATTTAACAGAAATTTCAAAAGAGGGCAATTGAGTCTTGAAGAACTTACTCTGGCAGACACTGTCATCAGACAAAAAAGTGCTGTAAGTAAGCAGGATCGTGCTTTTCTCTTAGCTCTTCGCCCTACTTTCTACCCAAAGGTATCATGTTCACTGCAGAAATCATGTTTCTTGGAGGTAACTTAAACTATGACCAAGGCATGTCTTCTATCCACTAGGTTACTTCTCCTACATTCCTGTTTATATAAAGAGAGGGTGAGGGGAAGGAACACAGCATGCCAAATGCTAGTAAATAGGAAATTTAAACAAAGGGCTTATGAGACGAGCTTAATTTGTCTCTTGTGACAAAAATAATTTCCCTTGGGAGAAATAACACACTTGAATTAGAAAAGAGAGGGAAAGGAGGGAAACTCCCCCCCCCCCCATCACCAGAAAATATACAGGCCAGAAAAGGCCAGAAAACAGATTCACTGGAAACAGATCTGATAGGAAGAGGCATATGGAGCTACTATTCACCATCAAGTGCAGCATGAGTGCATCACCTCCTGGCAAGACAGTTTAAAACTGTCGGAACACTATGGCTAGTGCATTTCTGGTAATCATATCAAGGGACTATTTTAACATTTACCCCTCATTGATTACATTTTAAAAGTGTTTTCATGGATTTGTTTTGCTGATCTATTGTAAGAGGGGTAGGACCCAACTTTCCTGCTGCAAAAAACTAATATAATTTTGAGCGCAAGCTAAAGGTATTCTAGAATACTCCTCTTTGTTGTTTATATCAGGAATCCAATCTGTCACCTGCAAAAGTCCTACATAAGAGGAACATGGCTTAATTTTCCTGCTTCCTATGCTGCCTTTCTAAGAAGAGTATCCCTCTGAAATTTTACTGCTTAAGACTCCTTTAATATGACATATGACCATTACCTCAGTTTCATTGCAGCAGAAGATATCAGAATAGATATAAAACTGTGGATCTAGGTCAGCAAGGGCCGGAGCTGGATTAAATAAAGTCTTTACTGGAAAAAGAAAAAAAAAAGAAAAAGAAAGTCTAAATCCGTAGTGTTTTAGATTCGTAAATCATCACTTGAAACACCATTGTGTTTAATTCATAGCCCCCAGTATTTATTATTGACACAAAAATGATTCTCAGTTTTCATTTCCTCATTTTATACAACCACTAAAAACTTTATTTATATTAAAGTTCTGTTTTAATTCATGTGCAGGCACCTGTCATGATGGGAACATGACAGAAGAGTAACAGAAAAAACAGCCAAGGCATTATTAAATTAAAAAAAGAGGAAAAAAAGCCTTAAACAGTAATGCAATTTGTTTACTGATGATGCTTCTTCCAGGATATTAATAAGTTTTACAAGAATTGATTTAGTTCTAGAATTTTTTCAGTGCGGTTATCTGAGCTCTGTACGTGAAGAATCATGAGTTATGGAGTAATGAAGGGCATGTCCAGACAAGGAGTTAAACGTGCTTCTGAATGTGTTACCTAACTTATTCAAACTGCCACATTATAAAACTGTAGTGTAGACAAGGCACTGTATATTTTTAATATGCTATCTGGCAGAGCTAGACCTAAACTTAACACTGGTAGAATATGTTAGTTAACCTAACTTTAAATAGTAGCCTAAGGCCCCTTGTAACAGCAGAAAAGGTTTGTCATGAGGACAGTGTAAGTGACTTACTCACTGTTAACACAGGAAGTCTGCAGCCCTGGATTCTCACTTTGCCAATTTTATGATTAATACTTGTGACTTAACCACAAGGCTATCATTTTTACATAAAGCACACATCTTCTTCAGAAATCTTCCTTATAGTAATTGATCAAATCTTCCAATTTGGATGCATAAATTTTCAGTCCTGAACACGTATTTAGACTGTAAGCTATAACACATAATTGTTAGACACCCTGAATGCTTTTGAATCCCAGTTAATGCCCTAAAAGACAAAGATGCACAGAGACTTCTGAAATCTGAGTACCAAGAAGTTTAGAAGTTAGGTGATCAATTCTCTGCAAATTAGTTAGCCCTTGACTGTACAACTTTATCATGCCCCTCTACCTGCCTCATTAAAAAGAATACTGAAGTGACAAAGACTTGTACTCAGAAGTGAGAAAGTGCCAGGATTAGAAACTCCAATGAAATCTTAATTTGGCTCCCTTATATTATTACAATACAGTATGTATTATAATAAACTCTTTAATTATATGATCACATACCACTGAAAAACAGCATGTGATCACATAATTAAAGACTGCAACATAATACATATGCAGAAAGGAGACAAATTAAGGTCTCACAGGCAACCTTAACTCTTGCATTTCCTATTTTCTGAACTGCAACCCTAATGAAGTTTTCTTAAACACAAATCTTTAAGGTATACTTTCCTAGGTAAAAAACCCAAACAGCACATACTGGAAAACAAACTCTGTCATGTGGTATCATACCAACATATACACGGGTCAGGAGCAGCACTGGAAGTGTTCCAACTTGGGTTTTAAGTAATACTCATCATGAACAGGGCATAATATACTACTACTAGTTTTATCCCATATTTAATATCTGCTGAGCAGAAGGGAAGGTAGAGGAACCTTAAAATCCTCTTTCAGGCTGTGAAGAAGAGGGTGCAGTGTTTGGTTCTCCCAAGGACCACCAAATTTTCTGTCCAAAATCTTTCACAGAATTACAGAATCATAGAATGGCCTGGGTGTGTGTTTGATGGCCATTCCCCCTTGTCCCGTCACTCCATGCTCTTGTAAAAAAGTTTCTCTCCATCTTTCTTGTAGGCTCCCTTCAGATACTGGAAGGCCACAATTAGGTCACCCCAAGATTTCTCTTTTCCAGGCTAACCAATCCCAATTCTCTTAGCCTTTCTTCATAGTGCTCCATTCCTCTAATACTCTTGGAGGCCCTTCTTTGGACTCACTCCAACAGGTCAATGTCCTTCCTGCTCTAAGGACCCCAGAGATGGACACAGTACTCCATGTGAGGTCTCACCAGAGCAGAGTAGAGGGGCAGAATCACACCCCTTGCCCTGCTGGCCATGCTGCTTTGGATGCAGACCACAGTTGGCTTTCTGGCCTGCAAGCACACACTGATGTGTCATGTCCAGTCTCTCATCCACCAGCAGCCCCAACTCCTTGGCAGAGCTGCTCTTGGTCTGTTTATCCTGTGCTGATACTGGGGTTGCCCTGACCCAGGTGCAGCACCTTGCACTTGGTCTTGTTAAATCACATGCTATTCCCGTGGGTCCACTTCTCGAGCTCATCCACTTCTATGCCTTTCCCAAGATTCATTCTCCTCACCTACCTTTTATTCTTTATGCCTCCTTGCATAGGAACTATGCAATTGTAACCTTTTCCACTCAACTTTCACGACATCGTATCTCTTTACGCCCCCTCTCCACTTTCTTATTCCCACTTCCAGTGCCCACAGCCTACTCCCTGCCTCTGTACCCATATTCCAATCTCTATTCAACAAATCCTAATCTCTGTTCCAATTTTGTTCTCCTTTCACCTTCTCCCTTCCTTCTTCCTCTGCCACCCCCAAAAATCAAGAAAATCCCTCCTACATTTCCCTTGTCTGAAATCTACTCTCCCTCCTCAGCATTCCCATTCAGCTTTGTCTTTTCTGTATTTAAAATTAAGCAAGCTCTTGCTCTGTGCTTCCTGGGCGTACAACTGATCTTTAAGAGTATAAAAGAAGTTGCCTAAAACCAGATTCAGGAATTACACTGCAACTCATGTTGCCCAAAGGGACAGACTCTGTGGACAGACTCTTGTGGGAAGCTAGCTGTGAAGCCTTTAAGAATTTTCTGAGGTCTATGTGAGAGGAACTTATTTTCCAAAGGCAGATAATACAGTTAAAATCAGGCAGGTTTACATACCATTGTAAAGGCTTAGCTTTAAAAGAAAGCTCCCCTGCAAGTGACATGGAATCTTAATAACTGAGGCTGCTTCCAGCTCATTCTTCACTGCAGTATTAATATGCTGTAGGAATACGCCACTCGTATGGCATTATCAGCCATCTTGAAAGGAGCCTGTCTTTACAGAAGCCCAAAAACTGCTTTACAGACTTTGATATACAGTAATATTTTGCCCATCAATGAAGTGATCCCGCCCTTGGAAGCAGCAGCAGCTTCTCATCATCAGCCACTAAAACCCTCTATTAGTCCAGTCAGATTTCCACTACAATTTATACCTACTTCATAATCCTTCCTTCCTTCCTTTCATCCTTGAGACATGAGATGTCTCTCTCTAGCTTACAGATCCAGATGATGTTCACTGAAGAGAAGCAAAGAGTTCTTGCTTGTGTGACCGTATCTTTTCTCGCTTTTGTTTATTTCTTTCAGTAAGAATGAAGAAAAACAAGCAAAAAACTCAATGAAACAGAGGTTTGAGGCATCTGGCTATGCATCTGTTTTAAGCAAAAATAGTCAAGTGCACATTTCAACATGCAGTACTACATTATACATGAAGCTATTGCGGGCTAAAAGAAGGGAAACTGCATTAAAAATTTACTGTTGGCTATGGATAGATTTTTACAATGCCACAAGCTCAGCTGCTTACTTAGATTTGATGGCACATGACATTTGAACATGTGTAGCCTATTGCTTTCAAGCAGAAGCAACCAAACTTTCCTGATAGAAGAGCTGCACAATGATAGCATGCTGACAGCACCGAACTATAGCTGGCCCACAGCTGACTACTATCTTTTCTCGATATATTGTGCTGTCTACAGTTGCCAAATGGTTGCTTGCCTGTTCAGTGTATCAGGTTTGAATCTTTTCAATTGCGTTTAAAAAAATCTTATCTTTTCTCCTGTCACAGGCTGGCATTTTGCCATAGGAGGGTGACAGAAGTGAGAAGCATCTTGCCAAATGTGTGCATAGAGTTAAAAGTAGACAAAATAAGTCATGGATATTGACTCAGGCCTCAACTATAGTCCATTAACCACTAGATTAAGAATGCTTTTATCCATTTTCATAAAACATAATGAAAATACATGTTCTGTTCCATGCCCTCCCTCCTCCTGCCCCTCCCACTCCCCTGTGCCTGGAATTTTAAGCATTTCAGGTGCTATTCAGTTTTTAAAGTTTTCAATTTTTCTGTAGATTTGCACGCACCCAGTTTTGACATTTCAAACAGATATCAAATAATTTTTCCCCACGCACGGTTCTGTTCATAGAGTTTATGACTATTACCATCACAGTTTCAGGGCCCTCTCTCCCAGCCTCCCATCTAACAATGTTGCTTAAATCGGCATGGAACACACAAACTCGATGCATAAAGCTCTGCTGCATCTGACATCTGCACTAGTGCATGAACACCAGTGAACACAACAGGAGCACAACAGATCATGCTGCAGAAGGAGAACTGAAGAGCCAACAATCTCTGCACACTGTGATCTCTTGGAGCAAGCCTTGGCCCAGCTACAAGGTACTAGCTAGTTCTGATCCCAGTTCCATCCCTGATCCACTGCGTGACTGATCATGCTGTGTATGAGCTGTCCCCTCCCAGTCTTATGTTCTGGATAAATGGGAAAAACATTTTTAAAATCTCATATAGATGCCTCACTTGCATAATTATTTACTTAGTGTTCAAATACTGTGGTAATTGTGCTTGAGTAGCTGAAAGCTTTACAGGCATTTTAAAAAACAAAAACATTATGTTAGTAACAAAACCCCATCCTATTCAGGCAAAATGTCAGCTTTCATCCATGTATATGCTACATTGAAGGAATGATGCCCTACATTTAAACGTACAGTACAGTAACAATTTACTAATAATTTCACAGACCATGACTGTGTCTCTTCAATGGCATCATGCCCAGACACACTCTAAGAACGGTTAAGAAGAAAAAACATTTTTATTTTATTTTAAGGATGTCAACTACTGTATAGAAAACCACAGCCATACCTACTGCTATGCTGGGAGAACACAGACATAAGTCTGGTTTTGAGCTCATTTGATTTACTTTACTGTGTGCGGAACTTCACCAACTTGCCACTCATTATCCTTGCTCTGCTCTGGAATAATATCAGAGTCAGGCCTACAGCTCCCGACCTTGCAACATTATATTGTATTTAGTCACCACATGAAAGCAGGTGGAAAGGCAGCATCAGACATATACAAGGAGATTATAAGGGTATAGGTTGATTTGCCATTCAAGGTAAACACTGCAAAATCTAGTTTTCATTAGCATAGCATGAATTTGTTGGCTATTGTTTCAATTCTAAATAAAACTAGTATGACAGAAACCAGAATAGACCAGAGGATCTTTATTTGGAAAGCACGATAAAGAATATTTTTCATGCAGCATAAATGAAAGAGACAGAATGGCTTATGTCAAATTACCTCCACTGGCACGTGCCATTTTCAGAGCTTCAAGAGAAACAGCAGGGGTTATTTCTAGCTGGCAAACAAGCACTTTGGCTTTACAGATGACATCAGAAGCCCTCTTCAGGTCTTCAAAATTTAAAAGCAGGTTGGCTCCTGGGACTATGACAATAACATTCTGTCCTAAAGAGAAGATATAGTGTTTGTTACAATAGTTTTCGCAATGAAGTATATAAAACAATTCCTTGATTTTTTTTTTTTACAATACATTTAAGATGAGTATTTCAATTTACTTTCAAAAAAAAAATCCCCACTAAAAACACATGCAGTGCTGACATTTTCAAATATCCAGATATTTTCAAGGATAATTAAAAAGATCAATGGACCAGTGAATGCTACACTGCACAACAAATGCATTATATATTTCTTTGGGGAAAATCATGTATGGGCATTCCCCAGTCTTATTTTGGTGTTTTCTATGAACTCTAATGAAGCACTGTACTAGTCACAGTGGAGATGGAGGATACATGCTAAGGCTGATATTTCCATTTTCCTAAAATATTCCAGTAGCATTTGGAAGAGAAAAGCATCGATGTGATTATCAAACTCATATGCCAAATTTTTCCCATCAGCTGGGAACAAAGAGTATTTCACACAGCTATGAAAATTATGCATGTTCTTTAGATTTCAGAGAAGCAGGCTTGCGCCATTTACCTGAGACATTTCAACTTAGGGCTCCTAACCATCATGAAACCCAGAACCAGCTTGTCACCAAAACCCAGACTGGTGATGACTGTGTCTAAGGAAAGCTTTATCAGGAGTGAGTGAAGAAGGTGGGCGACAGCTTGTTCTGCACCTAAAGCTGCCCAGTAGATGATCTAAACAAAGCTATGCGTGAGGAAGCACAGCAGTGTCTCAAAGCACCTCTAAGATCCCTTCCATTTGTTTATGTAACAGTTACGTGAGGTTCTAAATATTCTTTTGTTTTTCTTCAGACACACAAATCACCTTTTATTGCAGCTTCTTTCTCTTTTTAATCTCTATTACAACACTTAGAGACCTTCAGGCATGGGTGCCTTCAAATTAAAATTTATTATTAATCACTCAGGTATTAAATTCAATAAGTCAGTTGTTCCTTGATTTACAGGCTCAGCCCGCCCCCGCTGAAGATTCCTTTAAGGACTGCCAATCACTAAAGGCTACCAATTCTGTAATGAACTGAATTACTCTGCAAATAAATATTTATGTTTTTAAATACATTATTTTTGTTGAATGTGACTTCAAAGTCCTTTGAATAAGAAACGTGCAAAGCTTCTCTCCCTAAATATGTTCCGAAAAGAAAGCAGGATAATGGAAAGAATAATATAGTGAGCTCAGAGGGAGGGACCCAAGCTTTCCAAAGCAATTCTGCTGTCAATGGTTTGGTACAGAACAGCTGCATATGAAAAGCAAAACCTCAGCACTTAAAGCCAACGCCCTGCTTTTCAACAGACAATGATGGGCATCTTGGATAAAAAACAAAAGAAAAGAAAACAAAAAACCTTCTGCAACAAGTAAATGTTACCAAAGATATCTGAATCCTGTTGAGAAAATATTCAAAGGCAAATTGCACCTATTTTAACAAGCATGTATTTTGAAAGCTTATAGGGTGCAGCAGTGCAAACAGTAAAAGGCAGGGAATCAGTGGAACAAAAATCTATTTATTTTCTGCCTGGACTATGTGCTTCCTCGAATCTCAGACTCTATCCACATGTCTTGCTGCATTATCTTGCTGAACTATTTAGCTGTACTGACATGTATATTATTATTAGACTTTAGAGCTAATGGCCCGAGGCGATAAGGAGGGCTGTTTGCTTAAACCCATATGTGCAAATTCAAGGTAGACCATGCTGCACTGGATCACAGTCTGAAGCTTTTCTTTGTACCTACAAAAGGTCAGAGACATAAAGTGTGCTTTCAAACCTGCCAGGGAAGTGCAGTACCTACTATGGTGCAACAATCTGGACAATTTACCCCGATCTGGAGGCAAGCCCCCACATTCTCTCCTAAGCTGCATACACCACACTAACTCAATGTCAGCAGTCCACACAAACTTACACCAGGGTGCATGAAGGCAGAATCTGGACCCATGCATTCACAATTAATACCAAAATTTCGTATTAACAGCAACCATTTTGTTGACAGCAATTATTTCTTGCCAGGGAAATCAGATGGGAAATCAGCACCAGGGACAACAGAGTTAAAGACAGATGGCAAAGAGGGGTGGGATTCATCTTGTCCAACATGAACTAATTTTTTAAGTTTAAAAAAAAATCCTACATACTAGAAAAGTCTAAGAAACTTAAATCTCTAAAAATTATTTTTCTAGGTTCCTTCAACAAGGAGAAGAGATAAATATTTTCAGGGCTTTTTTAACTTAGATATCTTTTTGAGGAAGAGAAAAACTGTTGTCCAGAAGTGTCTATGTATCTCTGTTACCTCTAGGCAAAGCCTTAAGCCGTATACCTAGCTTATAAAACCACTCCAGTGAGGTAAAACATTACCTATACTAAGAAGGAGAACAATATATGGACTGCACTACCATTAATTCTAAAATATCTTTTCTTAGACTAAAAATTCTCAGTTTTGATGGGAGCATCTACATAATTTTAAGTTTTGCAGACGTCTGCTAGAATATTAAGGGCCACATTCCCAGTTGCTATAAGCTTTAACAGCTAAATGAAGCTGATAACTTGCACAAGCTTACACCAGATGGGGATTGGGTACAATCAGCGTGAATGCTGCATATGTAAACACTCATGTCCTCAGCTGGGCTTCTAAACCTGATATGTCACTTCTTAGAAAGATAGGTTACTCAAGCTAGACTTCTCTTACAAAGGTCATTTTATAGATGCCACCAGATGAGAAGTGCCAGTGGAAAAATCAGTGTCAAAACAGTAAACACCACAGTGCAATAACTATCACTCTTTAATACTGGACGATGAGCCCAAAAACCATCAGTAGTGCTAAGAAGTCACCAAAATGTCAAACAGTGAAATTGTAACAATAGCTGCAGAGCTTGTGCATAATAATTCATATAGAAAAAAGATTATATTTGCGACCAGAAAAGAATGCTATGAGAAAAGCATCTGCTGCCAAATCACACAGTTCATGAATATGAGGGCAAGTTTTGGGTGTGTTACAGTATCATAATTTCTATGCAACCATTTGGTAGAAGTATTGAACAGTCTTTTACACAAAACATTCAAGTTCATGATGAATGTCAATAGAAAGTCTCTAAAATGCAGGTGACATTTCTTCAGAAACCTGAAGATTTAAACCAAAGGTTTTCCTCTTTGGAAAGCATAATTCAAACAAGCTGGCATATGTATGCTAAGTTTGCCTTGTTTATTTAGCCTTATCTAAATATATATTTTGAATGTTTTTATACTAGTAGTGCTGAAGGAACACTTACTTACAAAATAATGTCTATTCACTGTTCATGAATGATTAATAACCTTATCATAAAGTCAGCACAATGCCTGTCTCAACTGAGGGTTATCTTGCTGTGTTCTGTGTAGGTGAACCTTAAGTCCTAACTTGCAGTAATCAGGAGAACTTTAATCATGACCTGCCAACCTCTGTTGTCCCTCCACTGAATTTTTGTTATGAATGTGGAAGTTGTTGGACTTGTTCAAACCTCTAGTCCAGCCAGGCCAGCAAAACGGCACCATCAACAGTCAGTAGCAGATATGGACAAAGCTGCAAGAAAATTCAGAGGTAATCATGGAAAAAATAATCCATAAAGAGAGTTTTTTCCTCCCTACATGTGTGTGTAAAAGTACAACACACATCATCACATCATGGAGTTCTCACCTCCCAACAGCACACTTTTGGCAGAAGGTGTGCTAAGTGACAGAGCTCATGGCAAGAGGGAGGCTGAAAGGGGAAACAAAACCTGGGGTTCAAAGTGGTGTGATGCACCTCGAAGAAAATGTGTTAAGAAAAGCAGGTGGATGTACCAGCTTTCATCCTTAAGAGAGAAAGTACAGATTTGAATTGTACAGGGTCCTGTTAAACTAAAGCTTGTGTTCAGTCAAAACTTAGCTGAAAAGGCAGTTGCACGAAAGAGAAAACTGAAAGGAAGACAAGGTCCCGGCAAGATTTCCGCACAGATTTCTGAGACCGCCCAGAGGGAACCTTGCAGCACCTCTGGGCTGCATGCTTTCCAGTGCAGCACTATAAACTTGTTAAACATCTCTTCACCATTTTGCATTAAAGCAGAGATTTAACCTCTCTATCTTTTATTGAAACGATACTGTATTGCCCCAGAATATCATGCAATTTTGAGAGTATCAATTGTGTCCAATAGTTTTCAAATTTTTAGTACTTTGCCAGTTACAACAGTGTGTGAATTACAGTTGTGGAATTCATTAACCAGTAAAAAACTTCCCACAAATTCTGCAGCACCAGCTAGACATACTGAGGTAACAATAGGGAAAGTTTACTCCAGAGCCTCCTCTGACTGCTCTCAACAGCTTTCTTTTCCTCTGCCTTCACTCATACATTCTCTCCTTGAGTCTCTCTCCTACTTCTGCTTGTGATTTTAGTCAGATGATTTAAGCTTCCCAAGTATCTGTATTTATAAAGAACTGATAAGAAAAAGGGCAGATAAGGCGTGTGAAATTACAGCAATTAAAAATTTGGCAATTCAAAGAGACGATAGCTATGTTTTTTATTTGTCCCTCATTGTCTTAACACAAAACAGCATCATCAACCCCAACTTCAAATGCTTTCCTTTTAGGTATAATTTGAACCAGCAGAAATTACCTCAGTCCATTCAATGCTGTGGTGTTTCAGCTATGCCAGCACAGCCACTGCAGCAGAACATGCATGTGCAGACAAGCCCATTGAAAAGTGCTGTAAAACTTGTTTAGGTCAAATCAGCCAGGTTTCTACAGGAAAAAAATAGTGTCTCTTGCAACAGCAAAGCACATAAGTGCTGCTATTTTATTGCAATTTACTCAGTTCAGGCACCAGATGGTTTTTGGGAGACGTAACAACAAGAACCATTAACAATTCTGTACATCTGTTTGCTTTAGAGCATAGTTCTGACCAGGTTTGCTCTTCTACTAGATTTTAAATGAAATCTGAGGCCAGTGTTAACACAGGATTTTTCAGTTTCTCAAAGACACAAACTACCTGACTTTATGCATCATTCTTGTTACTATGTGAATTATAAGACTATCAGGCACCCTTCACACTGTCACTAACATGTAAGATATCCCCACTGTGAACCTCATGGCCCTGAACAATAAATTTCCCTTTCCTGTGCTTATAAAGGTTTTATATCCACAAGATTATTTTGTCCTTATCCTTCAGAAAAATTCATGGTGTTAAAATTGTAATAGGTCCTCCTCTGCTCATTCAAGTTTAGACTATGTTTATCTTAGTTGGCCATGCATATGATTCGGGAAGTAATAAAACTGGTTCTTATTCAACTGCTCTGGACAGCAAGTGTAGTGCAAAACACAAACAAAACAGTGAAGCCTGGGAGCAATACTGGATTCCCACCGGATTACAGTGGCCATAGTGACAGTATGTGGCATAAGAAAGAAGTGTTAAGCATTGCTGTGGTAATTTACCTGCTGATCCAAACCAAGAGAAGGAGGTGGAAGTTGAGAGGCAGGTATCCGGGTTATCCAATGTATTAGTGCTACCTTATTTCTGAATTACAGCTGTCATGCAAGGCTTTGATCAATCTTACTTAGGGAAAATTAAACTCACATCTCCAACTAATTTGCCTAATTTTCCTGAATGTTCCTGTGTAGACTTGCTTTCAGTCATAGTTCCTTCCCAGATTTGCTGCTGGAGTAAATAGTCATGTTTCCTTTCCCATTTTGAGCTGTAGCCCAGTGTACTACCATCAGGTTACACAGAAGGTTGTTAAGTTGTTGTGTCAGCTAAGCTGTGGTAACTGTTCAAATGAGGGCTCTTAGCAGCACCAGAAGTGAACTAATTCAACCACACTTAAATTGTTATGTTTGCACAAACAGTGTCAGTCCAGAGCTCTTACATTTTGATCCAGACATACTCCTTTTAAGAGCTCTCAATAACACAACTTGTTTGAGGAAAAGACAGAAAGTTTTGTGAGAATAATTTAGCAATCTTGAAAAAGAGTATGAAAACAAGCCAAATCTTTATTTCTTCCCCTGTAATGTGAGAGCAAATGCACAGGCTAAGGAAAACTAACACGGAAAAAACAAATATGCCATTTCACTGTGTATTCATCACTGCATATGCAACTTGGGATCAAGAATTGTGTTAAAATTACAGTATCAACATAAATATTTCTACTTATACTAAGGACAATTCCTTCTCCTGAATCAGAGCATAATGACTCAGTGTCCTTACTAAGGAGGCAAACCCTTCCCTTATAGGGCCAGAGGAAATGGCTTCAAGTTGTGCCAGGGGAGGTTTAGATTGGATATTAAGAAAAATGTCTTCACTGAAAGGGTTGTCAAGCACTGGAACAGGCTGCACAGAGAAATGGTTGAGTCACCAACTCAAGTTATTGAAAAGACACGTAGATGTGGCACTTAGGTCCGTGGTTTAGTGGTGGACTTGGCAGTGTTGGGTTAATGGTTGGACTCGATGATTTAAAGGTCTTTCTCAGCCAAAATGATTCTATAGTAAGTTGTAGTGGAAAAGGAGAGCTTTAACTTTGATACGCTGTGTGTTCAGGACAATGTAAACTAGATAGATCAGCTGGCTGATTGAATTATTGTTATCACACTGCTAATGTAAGCATCTGTTTCTGCTGCTTCTAGGCACCTCATTCTATAACATTGCCCGTAATAAACATAAATGCAATGAAAGTTGAATAAGATCACAAAAAAAATTAAAAATGTAGAAAAAGTAATTCCTCAACTAACAGTGACAAGGCAAATGTTTCTTCTATGGCTGCAGAGGCAGAACAAAGAGGACAATTCAGAGCAGAAATATGTACCTTCACTGTTGACAATGATTGAAGCAGTTCCAGTAGCAGCATCTGTAGTCTGACCTACAAATGCTAAGAAAGGGAAAAGTTAGAGCATGCATTAGTTCAATACATTACTTTCAACCAATGGCATGTGATGCAGTTTAATTGAATTAAATCTGAAATGAACCCATAACCTCCAGCAATTTAAAAATGCTAATTACTCTTTCATGTGCAACAATGCCAGAGAAGCTAACAACAACAAAAAGTGTTAATTTACACCCACAAAACAGAAATGCGAGTCCAACATTCTTTAATTTGGCTACATCGCTGCTTTAGAGAAAGCATGTTATTTATACAGCCTTCTCAGGCACTCTACTCCCACTTGGAAGTATTTCTTTTATCCAGTGAAACAATAGAGTCAAGGCTGGAGAAAAATGAAAATATTAAAACAAAACAGTGTTTAATTCTGTGTAGATTTGCATTTCAGCAGTAATATTAATATGTGCTGTGAAGGCAGTGGTGGGGCTATATTCTTCCTTTTTGAATTATTATTCAGATAAATTAACTAGAAGTGAGGCTGGCAGAAAGACTGTTCCATGTTTACCACTATAAGAACCTGTTTTCAGTTTACATCAAATTTGTGAAATATTAACCAGTGGTCCAAAACTGGTAGTAGAAACCAGTAGAACTGTAGTAGAAAACTGTCCAAAAAGTTGAGGGTTATTTTTTTTTTCTTCCCCAAGAACTGTATTTGAAAAAATTTACTATTTCATTTGAGACAAATTCTAGTGACTTTTTGTTTAAGAAGCTCTGGGTATTCTAACATTTTAGAAGAGGTTCTTGATGCTGCGCAAAAGTGGGCCTCTTTCTCAAGATGTGGCCAATTTAACAATCTGCTCAAATTTGAACAAGGCTGAAAAACACCTAACAACCTGCTCACTGGGTTTTACTGAAGTCTTGTACGTACTTGCCCTGGAGGTACCCTCGTCTAGCTCAGTTACAAGGGTCAGAGCAGACCTTCCCTTGCAATTACAGCTTCTTTTCACCATGAGCTCAGTCTCCACACTGGAACTGAAAGCAGAGAACTTGTGTCTTTTGTACTTTCAATGCTCTTGCAGCATGAGCAGCAAGTTGCCTGGTTCGAATGTGGGAGAGGGAACAACAAATCAATAAAGATCTAAATGCTCTGAGCAACACTGGTAGCTGATCTGTTGTGGAAGAGAGGAAGACAAGGAAAGGGGAAAACTACAAACCAGATTGGAATTGAAAAGGAAAGGGGTATGGTGATATGCTAGGAAATATAAGAGCAACATAAACAAAGAAGACAAACAACAAGGACCCAAGGTCTGACAGCCAGCAGAACTGGCATTACAGCAAGGATTTTCATTCAGAAAAACCAGTATCCTTATGTACAACAACAGAGATAGGTTAGACAGGGGTTAAACTGAGATGGAAAGCCCGGGACTGAAGTAAGACCATTCTAAGCAAAAAGTCTGTGCACACTGAATCACCCTTGCCTCCAGATCTTGGAATGCAAGTTGGGATCTTGGATCAGCCTCACCAGCAGCACATCCTGTCTTTCTCCAGGGCTGACCGATGCAGGAGGTGGCAACCAAACACCATTCTGAGATATTATCAGCAGAAATTGGTACCTTGGAACCTAAATGTTCCAAACCTTCTACTGATCTACCTAAGTATCCATGAAGTGTGATATGATGGAATTCCTGAATTTTTTCCCTATACTTTTCTTTTGCTGCTATAAAGACTATTTAAATATTCATGTTAAGATTGTAAGAGCAATCATTTAAATAAAAAAAAAAAATTAAGGTTCCTTGTGGTATATGCATTTTCATTAAGTGCTATGCATTATAATTGCTTTATTTACACGATCAAAGACTTTATTCACGAAGTAGGCATGCTTCGGAGAGATTTAAAACCGTACACTAACAGGCACTGCTTTTATGGTATCCTTCAATTGTTTTCTTAACTTAGTTGAAAGCTACACAAAGAATAAACCTGTGCATATATTTGTGAAATATTTAGATGTTACACTGATAAGCATAATAAAAAAGCCCACAAAATACTGATAGTTCTGTCTGTAAAGCAGGATTGGAATAATGCAGTAAATGAAGCTGGTGGCTGCACATTAAACAGAAGAGACAAAGAGAATATTGCATAGCCGCTTAATGATTGCATCTGTCCATCGTTGTCCATGCTGAAGGAGACAAGTTGTGCAGACAAAAATGTGATCGTGTAGTTTAGCAACATGCAATAGAGAGAGAATTAGGGTTACAAAGGTGCAAAGATACTAGAATATTGTGGCTGCTCAGTTTTCCTTTTTTCTGAAAGCCTTTAAACATTGATTTTTGTGTGTATGTGTGCTAACACCAGCTGCCATCTCTAAAATGATGCATGTGTCATTTCACAAAGCAAAGGTGAGATTTACTGAGTTTACCAGCGCATTTCCACTCTATCCCTCCCTTCACAACATGAAATTGAGAATGAATAATCAGACCGAATTTTTCCGTTTCTCACCAGGCATTATCATCATTAATGCCAGACTAAACAATTGCATATCAGCAAGTTATCTTCAGGTGACTTGCACTGATGCAATCATCTGAGGTTTGGAGGTAAAAACATTACATTTTATTGTTAGTGGTACAGCTGCTTTCAGAAGTCCCGTATTTTCACCTGTATTCATTCATTCCTGCCTGCTGCATCAAACCAGTTATGCATAGTTCTGAATGGTAAAACATATCCAATAAGACAGTAAAATAATAAATCCTCCACTATCGGTTTTTAAAGTTTAAAAATAGTACAAAATGTTTCTTTAAAGTAAAATTTTACCTGTAGAAATACCATTTTTCTTCAAATTTTCAACATAATCATTGCCAAAGGAATCCTTCCCAACCTATACAAAAGATAAAAGAATGGGTTTTCTTTACAGAAAGATGAGAGGATAGATAGACTATTTTTAGACAACCGAACTCTCTAATGTAATTTGAATACAACACTTTCTGTGTTGAAGCCCTTTGCCTTATTAATCAATAAATAATGAACTAAGAAATAACAGTAAAAATGTATTAATAGTATTAACAAATGCTATTCTTAGTGTTCTGAAGTTTTTTCCTCCCCATTACAAAATTCCCCCCACACCCATGTCACTATATTCAAGTTTTGTTGTACAACCACTGTGCTCCTTTGACACTGAAACTTCCTGGGGATTGTAAAATCCGGATGTGTACTGAGTTATTCAGCTTTGAACTGAAAACACTGACAGCAATTCGTGTGTCCCTCCTAATTGCAGTTCATATTTTGAATTTTCTACCTCAAGTTTCCTTGCTGGGAAAATTTCAAACTGTGGCTATGGGATAGAAAGTGATGATAAATATGGCATTAACAATTTCTATAACTCTCAGTAATAAATGCACTGTTTACAAATTCAGCATTCTTTGTTTGCTTTATCCAGCAACAGCAGATCAAGTTGAGTTAGGGAGTCAAACTATGGTGTATTGTTTTTCTAACAGCAAGTTAAAAGGCTTGTCATTTCAGCTCCACTAATCCTTTTAGCTGAACAGAATTCTGCTTGCTGTTTATTCAGACTAATACACATTTCTTTTTGTTACATTACAACAAGCTGAACAAAGGAGATGAGGTATATGGAGACAAAAATAGTACAACTTGCTTAATGTCACAGTAGCCAACAAAGCTTTTGATTCACCACTTTTAGCCTGTCTTCAGCATGCACAGCTCACAAGTCCAAGAGTGAGAAGAAAACATCTTTCAGATTAGGAGCCAAATCAAGATCCTGGTCATGGGTCCAGACAATGAAGGAATTACATGAGGAGCCCTAACTAATGATCCATCTTCTCATAAAACAGCACTACACAGCTGATGGTGTACTTGAGTTACTAGAAGCACAAAGCAACTGCCTCTATTGGCAGCTGTCAGAAATTTGTCAATTTATGAGCTTAATCCTTCAGAAAGCTTGGAGAAGGCCTGAGTACTAGGTACTGATCACAAGAATCAAGCCCTATGATTCAGATTTCTAAAACTTAAAGTGTCACGGATGGATGATCCTTCCCCCCACATATTTTATTGTACAACCATGATCTGAAACATACTTTCATTTCGTACAATTTCTATAAGGGGTTTTTCAAAAGCATTATTAAGGATAGTCCCAGTCTTTCACCAAAACAAGACAGCAGTTTAGGTCAGAATAGTCTAACCAGATGGAACATTCCTCTAATATATTACAAAAACCCCCAAAACCAATTAATCAAAAACAAAAAAAACCCTCAACCCAACAATATCTACTTGGGTCACTATGTTATTTATTGTTTGCATATTAGAATATTTCTGTATCTCTGACTGCTCCCATCTTGCCAGACAGGGCAGTTCATCAGAAGCTGCATCTTCTGACTGCTCTAGGCTGGATAACTGCAGTTTAAACCCAGGCTGTGCCAACCTCTGCAGCCTAACAGCTGTACTACCGTTCCACCTGATGGCACCACCTTCTCCCTCCCTCGCTACTATGAAGCTTCTACAACAAATCTCAGGATTTGCTCAGTTATTTCAGCAACAAAATATTTCACAACCCTCTTCCAAAATCTCAACTGAAACTTCCTTCCTTCAGCTCTGGGTCCTACATGACTGACAGACAGGCATCCCTTATTGCTCAACTGTCATAACAGCTGAGATCAGTGGTAGTACTTTTGCCCACAGTGAGACATCTCAGTGCCAGAGGGAAGCCCTTGGAGGCGTCTCCATGGAGGTCCTTTTCCTCTGGAAACTTTTTTCCATGTTAGTTCATCAGCATCCAACTCAGTTAATCCGAGTGCATTTGAAGGGCTTTATTTTTCCATTCAGGCTTTACCCCCAAGGAAGACAGAAGATTAGGCATCAGACTCATTTTAGATTAAGGGCATATGTACTGATCATGTAAAATTATATAACGTTGTTTTAAATATTTTCTGCTATTGCATAGACCCTGCTAGATGGACTATTGGATGAACAGAAAAATAAATGTCTTACTCTGCTGACCACAGAACACTGTATGTGCTGAAATAGCATTTCTTCTTTCTAGAGTCCTTAACAACAACAGCCATTTGCACAAGCATTATGGTCACACAGTTTGCATGTCAGAATGAGTGGAATTACATCAGTATTTTTCAGTCTGGGTTCTCTCTGCTTACGACCATGTTTTCCATGTGGAGCTAGGGAGCTAGCTGGCATCATAGCAGCTAGAATTCTAGCAGCTCAGAGAATCAAACTTATCTGTATCTGAAAATTTATTACAACAAAAAACATGTATCTTTTGACATTTCTGTTTATTCTATATGCTCTTTTTAATTGAAAATGTTTAGGCTTTTTTGTCATCAGGGAATTAAACAGGTACTAAAGACAAGCATAAGACAGTAATATAGAAGAAAAAAAACCACTGAAGATATCCATAATGTTCTGGGCTCCATCTGAGATACAGCTATATTCTTACAACGAAGTGAGAATGCGGGTTTACAGCACTTAGATTTGGCTTATGGATCATCTAAACAGAGAAGACTACATAGCACGGTAATGCAGCACTTGCTGTTTCTAAGTAAGAATCAAATGCAGCCGGAGCTTAAACAGAATTTAGTATATGCAGTATCAGGCTGGTGATAGCAGTGTACAGTGAAGATCATTCCAAACTGTTTGTCAGAAGTAAACCAGGACCTTTTTCAGCACACAGAATGTCTTTCAGACCAACATCCCATTCAGCAAGGAAGTTTATACTATGTCTCATTGACCAATGTAGATATATAAGAATGTATATGAGATGAGACTTGTATGAGATGAGACCATTTTGTGAGGCAATAGTCATTTTAAAAATCTGAAATATTAACTTTTACAATTTAAAAAAACCTGTTAACATTTATAGATATCGAGTCATTCTCTGCTGTTTCTTTTCACCAATGAATACAAGAAAGAAAGAAAAGAAAGAAAGAAAGAAAGAAAGATTAGATCTTACTGAAACAACAAAAATGTTTTTAGAAAAAAATTAGAAAATAGGATTATTATGAATGCATATGTTTCCATTGCACTGAGCAAAAGCTAGACCATTAAAAAATAAAGCAAAATTCACACTTGCAGTGGAAAAAAACCCTTTAACATTTAGCAGAAAATGTTAGCAGGGAATTCATTGCCAGTTCATCTTGTACTTGAATCTGATCATTCCTGAATGCAAAGATGATCAAATATACACAATATCACAGAGGCACAAACATTGCCAATATAAAAAAACCCCACACTAGAACAACTAGTGATAACAACCCACAGAAATGCTTGCAGGTGTAATCTAGATTTAAAGCTAACATTCTTTAGTCTAAATATTGAATTGGAAAACCAGTGAGAAAGGCTTCCTTGAGATGTTTCCAGTACTTCTCAAAAAATCCCTGACAGACAATGATCCAACAAATTTAGCATCCTCCCCAGCTATGGCAGAAAACAAAGTATGTCCAGTCAATTTGAGGTTTCATCCACAGTTAGCACAGGATAGACAATAAGGTTACAGCGAGAGAAAATTTGATCTTAACTGTAGTAATGATCACTCAAAACTTATAATGTTTAATGACAAAAATCAAAGAAAAGCATTGCAAGAATATAGCATCTGCCAAGTTGAATCAGCCCCATGCTCTGTGAGCCATTCTTTAGAACTGCTGTATATCAGATGTTTCAGAAAAGTAGGCAAAAATATCCCATAGCACTCAAAGATGCTAGAATTTGGACATGAACATTTCATCTTAATCTCAGGTAATGAGATAATGATTTAACCCTCAAAGAACAAAGTTTTACATTCCTCCTCAAATTTGAAGTGTTGATTGCTGTAACAGTGGGAAACATAAAGAGGAGGGGCTAATCAAGATTACTTGAATTTTGAACATCTTTAAGTCTCTCCAATTCTCTTCTCCATGATACATCGATCTAAGTTTTGCAATCCTTCTCCACATGCAATTCCTGCCAGATCTGTAAGTCAACTAGTCTTTGGTTCTGGCAGTGTTCTTACAACAGCCTCCTCCATGCTTAAATTTATAGCTGAAATAAGTAAAAGGAAAGAGAATTAGAGAGAGATTAAAGAAATCTAAAAAGACATCAAGACCTTTTCTTTTAAGTGACCAAAAGTTTTACTGGAACTCGCATGAATATTTAGTTCAGCTGTAAGCCAGGAGCAAGTCAGTGCTTACCTTGCAGATCAGTGACGTGTTGGCCCCAAGTCGAGCAGACTGGACACACTGGTTGGCTCCTTTCCCACCAAAACCAATGAAAAACTTATGTCCAAGGATAGTTTCTCCAGCTCTTGGCAATCGTGTAGTAAGGCTATTCCAATTAAAGCAATATTTACATATATTAGCAACTGAAAATAACAAGCATCTTCAAATTAAGAGTTACATTCTTATAATCCTAAATGGCTCAACAGTTAGCCAGTAAGACTAAAAAATACTCAAAAGACCTTTTAGGGTCTCTACTCCACATCCTACCAGTTTAAGTTTATTCCTTATATGCCACCCAGTCAAGTTTCTTGTTTATTACTCGATAAAGGGATTGCATTTCTTTCATTCATGTTTCATGTTTCTACAGGAAAAGAAGCACTTGATCCCTGACAGGGATTCCCCAGTGCTAACTCAATACAGATCTATATAAATCTATAGGTCTCACTGCTCATGGGTTTTCTACTGTAACATTCAGCTCAAGTTTACATATAGTTCTTTTAATTCCATTACATCTAATTATACCTTCCTGAACCATCCTTGAGTAATTTTTCACTCTGTTGGTGTTCACACCCCTCAGAATTGTAATTGTTACCAAAATCGTCCTCCCCTCTGCTGTCACTCAAGCACACTGTACATATTTAACATTTTTCTTTTTTAAGTTTTTCTCTTACAAATCAAGCTTTACAACTTCTCAGCATTTTGTTGTTTCTTGAATGCAGTCCAATTACATTTGCATCCTTCTGGGGATGGGTGCCCAGAACCAGATGCACTAATACAAGCTGAAAGCCATCAGGAGTGTATTCTGGTTTCATTTCCATTTTGGGAAAAAAAAGAAAACAAAACTGTAATTTCGTTAACCCTACTAGATGCTTTACTATCTCTAGTAAAACTTGAAAGGAAAAAAAGACACTACTGAGACGACGTGGAAGAATTTATCTGAACGCAAAAGACAACTGACTTTTGTCACTTTACTAATAAAGTACATAACTCAAAGATGCATTTACAACACTCGACCAAAATATCCACCTCCATGAGCCACACATTCCTGTTTTAAGGCTTAAAAATGTGATTTTTAAATCTCTTAAGCTCCAAACAAGTTCACAACACATGGGGACGGAAGGGATCCTATGATGTACTAGCAACCTGTTCAGTCAATGGCAGTTACCTCAGACAAGTTTCCAGAAGTCTGCAGGATAGAAGGGGAACATGGGGAAGGGGAGTAAAAGAATGCAAAAGAATCTGCCCTAATGATGAAGCAATTAACGTCAGCTCTGCTTGTCTTATAACATCTTTTTACCAATAAGCCTTATAACAGCTTTAAAATCCAAAAACTGAGTTCTGGGCTTCTCAGCACAAGAGAGACATGGAGCTCCTGGAGCAGATCCAGTGGAGGGCAACAAAGCAGACCAAGGGACTGAAGCATCTCTCTTATTAGGAAAGGCTGAGGAAGCTGGGCTTCTTCAGCCTTGAGAAGAGGCAACTGAGATGGGACCTCATCAAAGTCTTTAAGTATCTGAAGGGAGGGTATCAAGAGGATGGAGCCAGGCTCTTCTTGGTGGTGCCAGGCAATAGGACAAGAGGCAATGGGCAGAAACTGATGCACAGAAGAGTACTTGAAGTAGAACTACTACTCTGCTTGAAGAAGAATTTCTTTACTGTGCAGGTCACCAAGCACTGGAACAGATCCAGAAAGGTTGTGGAGTCTCCTTCACTAGAAATACTCAAGAATTGCCTGGACACAATCCTGTGCAGTGTGCTCTAGGATCACCCTGCTTGAGCAGGGAAGCTGGAGGAGACGACCCCCTGTGGTCCCTCTCAACTTTAACCATTATGTGACTCTGTGAAAACTGCCAGTTCAGAACACAAGATTAGATATTACGAAGAAATCCTTTAATGTAAGGGCAGTGAGACACTGGAACAGGTTGCCCAGGGAGGTTGTGGATGCCCCAACCCTGGCAGTGTTCAAGAGCAGGGTGGAGAAGGCCTTGAGCAACTGGTTTACTGGGAGATGTCCCTGCCCGTGGCAGAGGAGGTTGGGACTAAGTGATCTTAAAGGTTCCTTCCAACCCTGAACGTACTATGATTCTACGCTTCTGCACTAGGCAATCACTACAGATTGTTTTTTGAATGATATGAAGAATAATCTGAGCTTATGCTGTAACTTCTGGGGCATAAGGGTGTTTGCAGAATCTCATGGATTTAATGACAGAACAGAGCCTAATTCACTGTAAATTCTCAGGAAGAAGCAAACATTTTTTTCTCCCTCTAATTTTCAATTCCAGCATGCATCAGTCCAAAGGTTTAGGATCATTAGAAAATCAAGAAAACCCCAAATGAAACTAGCAAAGTTAAGTAAGTCCCGAAGTCCCAGAAATTAGGATTTTGGCTTTGAAGGAGTTGTTACACATCTGTGCTTCATCAGTAGTTACAGTTTCTAGAGAGACCAAGGTAGGGATGCAAACTCTAAGTAGGGACATCCACAAGCAAAGCACCCCAGATTTTACTGTGAGGGTACAGCCTGTGAGTATATAGCCAGTAGGTTTATTTTCTGGGAGTGACCACAGATAAACCCCAGAAGAGTCACACATTCAGCTAATAGCACTGGTTTCCAGAGAGGCAGAGCTGGGAACATTTTGTGGAGAAATGTTTAAACAATTTTAAATAAAAATCAACAGATTTTTAGAAATACACTTGTACATACCTCATATACATACATACATACATACATACATATATATATATATATATATATATATATATATATATATTTATATATACATGGAAAGAGTTGCTAAGTTAAAACTATTTGCCCACAGCCAGCATCTGGCACGTTGTTTACAACACTGAGTAGCTCTACAGTTTCAGGGAACAAGGCGTAACAATAAATAGTATTGATAAATAGTAATAGATAAATAATGTTCATTAATGGTAACACAGGTAATTTATCACCATTTTTACCGCTGGAAGCCTAGTAGAGATGGTTGTGGACCAGAGAGTGAAGGCCACAAAACTTAGTTGAGGAAGCTCCTCTTTAGCCAGTGCCCGGGTACTGCACACACACATCTAAAATTTACGTGCCATTCAGCAAGGAAGGGATGTTTTCACCCAGCCTTGGTAATAAATAGTAACAGCAGTTCTTGTACCATTCCTTTCATCCACAGATCTCGCTACACCTTAAAAAGCAGAACATCATTATTCCTGTTTTGTGGGTATGGAACTTAGTCAAGGCATTTTGCCTTTTCATGCCTTAGGTCAGTCAAGAAGCCAGTGGCAAAACCAAAAATAGAGATCAGCCCAATCCACCAGCTCATACTGTCTTCTCATTTAAATTATGCAGTATGAAAATGGTATCAAGTCTCAATTCATTTTCATTCCTTAGGCTGTTTTTTTCTTTTAAAGATTATAGCTTTTCCTAAACAGAATTTTCTTCCACAAAAAGCTAATACATTTTTAGACAAAGATTTACAAGTGTGACATCCCAGCACACTTCTGCTAATAGCACTGCTCAGAGGTCATATGCATTTTCAAGAAGTACGTTCAACCATAAATATTGTTGTTTTAACAGTGGCCAGACTACGACTTGGTTCTTCTCTCTTTTATGTTGGCATCAACGTGCAACTCCAGTGGAAGCATCATAATTTCACTAGTGAAAAACCAGGCTTGGTGAGAGGAGAATCTGGGCCTCGCTGTTTCAAGCAACATGGCCTGTGGGAATCAAACAGCTTGCGGAAGATGGGGATATGACCTTTTTTATTGCGTTGATGGAAAGGCACAAGGCAAAGGGCAAAAGATCGAGTTGGAATAGTGATTTCTAATTAGCCAGTTCTAAAAATAGGCTAAAACAGACTAAGCAAGAACAAGCAGCAGGTTCCTGTAGTTCACTGGAAACAAACCCTTCACCTTATTTCATTTTAGGCATGATTGCCAATCATTCCAGACCAATTCTCCACTCCAGAAGCCTATTTTTATTCTCCTTATTAAACAAATTCAGAGAAATGATCTATATATAAGCCTGGAGGTTTCACTTTCACTGAAACCAGTATTCAAGAATTATTTTTTTTCTAATATAGTGCTATTCTCTCATCATTTAATTCTTCAACTATACTAACTTCTGATTCACATCAGACAATTTTAATGAGTATTTCAGGCTTCTGTTAGAAGCAGGCAGTGATGAGTAATCTGTATGATTAAGAAACCCTATAAATTCTTGGCTTATTGATGGTACCACAAAGAATACTCAAAATAGCCTAAAAGTGATGAAACAGCTAATGTTACTCCAAAACTAGGCTAAATAAGTTAATTAGAAAAACTGTCACATGGGCTTTCAGAGTTGTTACATAAAATGTTTTGTAAAGCCATTTACAACTTTGACGTAATCTGAAAACACTGACCTGAAAAACCCCATATAAGCTACTATTCAACATACTTCCCTTTGCTTATGTGACAACTTCTGCTCAGCTTTGAGGGGATAAATGGTGCAAAGGATACTGAGCTGTCATGTCTTATGAACAGCCAGAAACTAAACTTGAAAATCCCCAACACTTATTAGGTGTATAATAAAATTACTGTATGTTTTACAAATTGTACATTGTATTACTGCATCACATTTATAGAAGAAAGTTCAGATTAAAACATCCTGGATTACTTTGGACATCACAAACAAGGAATACAATCCCTCAGAATTTCAACTGAGTTTTTACAAAACAATATTTAAATGTAAAGCACAGAGCAATGTTGCCCACATTTGTTGGTGACAAATGAAGGATCATATATCCACTTATGCTTCAGAGGTTTGGGATGAAAAAAGGTACACACATAAGAGTTTCACCACTGCAGTAACTTCAACCCTCTCTTCCAGTAAGTGTGTGCCACAAGTTCCCTTAGAGGCTAGAGCTGATTAGCATTTTTATTTTCATACGGACACCCCTTTGGAGGGATGGCATTAAAACCAGAACAGAACCCTTTCCTACTGTGTTGAAGCACTGAATCAGAGGTGAAAGCAGAACATACTGAGTCATTAATGACCCTTTCCCCGGTAATCTGGGTTTTCTTGAAAAGTTCCCATCTAAGCAGTGACTAGATCATACTGGGAGATAGAAAGTATGA